AATCAAGGATAATTCCAAGATTTTTGGCTTGAAAAATTAGAAGACTGGAATTGCCGATTACTAAGCTGGGAAGACTTGGAAGAGCAAGGTTTTGGGGGGAAGATTAGGAGGTCAGGGCCAGTCAGGCTTGAGGCTTGCATTTAACATCTGCGGGTAGGTGGAGTAAACAGTAGGATTTATGCATCAGGCATTAGAGTTTGAGATGAGAGATACAATTTTGGTAGAAATAAATTTTACTGAATCGGCAAAAATTACTGTTTTTCTTGTTTTGAACAAGACATAATATTTCAGTAGAGTTCTTCAACAGAGGACCATAAGAATAGGAAGTCCTTGCCCTCAGGAGATAGCTCTTGGCTATTAAAGTTAGATGTACTACATGGATTTTTTGTTTTTGTTTTTGAAGTATTCTTTTTTAAGTGATAAAGCAAAAGTATAATCAAGAATTTTAAGTTTATACTTTGGAAATGTTAAAAAGGAACTCGAGTAATTTATTATTATTTTTAAAATTTCTATCTAGGCAGCAATAAGAGCCCAGTGTACTTTATGAAGTAGATTGGTTTACACCAGGGGTGAGCAGACTTTTTGTATGATACATAAGCAAGAAATGATTTTTATGTTTTTTAAATGGTTCGAAAATATCAAAAGAAAAATCCCAGAAAAAAATCAAAAGAAGAATGCCCTTTCATAATACATGAAAATTAAATGAAACTCAAATTTCAGTGTTCATAAATAAAGTTTTACCGGAACATAGCCATGCTCAATCATTTATGTATTGTTCATGATTTCTTTTGCATACAACAACAGAGTTGGGTAGTTGTGGAAGACTGTAGCTCACAAAATGTAAATATTTATTATCTAGCCTTTTATCAGTAAACTCTGCTGATCCCTGCTCTATAAGACCCCTGAATCAGATTATTTCCAAAGAATTTTGTTATGAAATTTGGAGTCTGCTGTGCTATAAATTGCAAAGAACCATTTGGAAAACCGCTTTTCATCAGGTATTTACATTAAAATGTTCCTTGATTTGTTTAAAAAAAAAAAAAAAACACGGATATTCAAGACTGGCCCAGAATTATACCAAATTGAAACTCTCAAGTGTATTTAAACAGTAGGAAGTTTTAACTCTTTTTTTTCTTGGAGTGGTCTGTCTGTCATTGTTTACTTTGGAACATTTATTTAGGTTTTTTTTAAAAAACCCATGAAATTTGTAATAAAGTTTTTTAATCATTAGTGTTAAATAATCAAAGAAAACTTTTTTTTTGTTTACTTCATTTGTAAAATGAATACATTGTTACTATAATTTGTCTTTGGCCATACCTTGTTGATAATTGCTTATCCAAGTATAAGAAGTCATGATATGTTTTCCTTTTTCCTATTTTACAAGAATAAGTACGGGAATACGTCAGCTGCTCCAAAACTCAGTGAGAGAGACAGGATCAGGTTTTTTTTCAGCATTGGATTTTAAATGATAGTAGATGGTTGTGCTGGGCTAAAATGCTGATGGTTTGGGTATATTTTTATGAATTGTTTAAAGACAGCTTAAAAGCTTTATTCTAGTTAAAAAAATCATACATGTTCATTGTAAATAGAAAGGAGTCAGGTATAAAGAGATCTTTAGAACATGTGGAAAGAGGCAACAAAATTTTAGAAAAAGATAAAAGTCTGAAATCATTAATTTATTAGAGGGAAAAATCAGAGCAAGGACCTCAAACTATTCCAGATTGGCCCTATGGTGGGAGCACAGATGATATAAAGAAAAGTCAGTGAAGACACCTGCAAAGAGTGTGAGTGGAAACCACTAAGTTTTGCAGCCCCAGGGCCTCTTACGGTTTATTACTGTGTTTTGTTTGTTTGTTTGTTTGTTTTTAATGTACATTGCTTTGGAACCAAAGGTTCATTACTGTTGTGAATAAAGTAGGATGTGTACACCATGACCTTGACTGCTTGAGATTCACCAAGGGTTTTTGTCTCGGGACTTTTTTTTTCTCATAAAAAATTTTGTTTTAATTTTAAAATTGTAAGAAAATGTATCATCTTAACCATTTTTAAATATGAAGTCCAGGGGTATTAAGCACATTCACTGTGCAACAGGTCTCTGGAATTTTTTTGCATCTTGCAAAACTGAAACTCTGTACCCACTAAACAACTACTTCCCATTTTCCTCTCCCCCAGCTTCTGTCAACCATTCTAGTTTCTGTTTCTTTTCTTTTCTTCTTTTTTTGTCTTTTGAGACATAGTCTTGTTCTGTCGTCCAGGCTGGAGTGCAGTGGCACCATCTCGGTTCACTGCAATCTGCCTGAGGGTTTGAGCAATTCTGCTGCCTCAGCCTCCTGAGTAGCTGGAACTACAGGGGTGTGCCACCATGCCTAACTAATTTTTATTTTGGTATTTTTAGCAGAAACGGGGTTTCACCATGCTGGCCAGGCTGGTCTTGAACTCCTGACTTTGTGATCCTCCCTCCCCAGCCTCCCAGAGTGCTAGAATTACAGGCATGAGCCACCGCACCTGGCGTCTAGTTTCTGTTTCTATGAATCTAAGTACCTCATCTAAATGGAATCATACAGTATTTGCCTTTTTTATGGCTGGCTTATTTCACTTGGCATAATGTACTCAAGGTTCATCCATGTTGTAGCATGTGATTGTGATAGGAGTTCCTTACTTTTTTTTTTTTTTGAAGTCTTAATCTGCAGTTTATTTTTGTTTATTTTTTATTACATTTTAAGTTCTGGGATACATGTGTAGAATGTGCAGGTTTGTTACATAGGTATACACATGCCATTGTGGTTTGCTGTACCCATCAACCTGTCATCTACATTAGGTATTTCTCCTAAAGCTATCCCTCCCCTAAGCCCCCACCCCACGACAGCCCCAGTGTGTGATATTCCCCTCCCTGTGTCCATGTATTCTCATTGTTCAGCTCCCGCTTATTAGTAGGAGCATGCGGTGTTTGGTTTTCTGTTCCTGTGCTTTTATCCATTCATCTATCTGCAGATGTTTGAGTTGCTTTCACTTATTGGGTGTTGGGAATGATGCTGCAATGAAGGTCAGTGTGCAGATATCGCTTCAAGATTTTGTTTTCAATTTTTTTTGGAAATGTACCTATTTATGATGCTTCGAATATGTAAATGCTATTTTTAAAGCATTCTCAGTTTTCTGACATATGGTAGGACTTAGGAAGTAATTTCAAAGCATAATGTTGGCAGGTTGTTAGCTGATGATGACTGCAGCTAGTTGGAAAGTCAGAAGAATCTAGAACTTGTCCATTTATGCTAAAGAATTTCATAGTAAGTGCAGTATTATGAGTGTACTGTTCAATTGTGTAGAAAAGGCTCTCTGAGGGGATTTAGTGCATTTCAGTTACCTATTGTGTGAAATGAATCACCTTAAAACTCAGTTGCTCAAAAATTTGAATGGCGGCTGGCATGGTAGCTCACATCTAAAACTCCAGCATGTTGGGAGGCCAAGGCCGGCAGATTGCTTTAACACAGGAGTTTGAGCGCAGCCTGGGCCACGTGGTGAAACCTTGTCTCTATAGAAATACCGTGGCAGGTGCCTGTAGTCCCAGCTACTTGGGATGCTAAAGTTGTAGGATCACTTGAGCCCAGGAGGCGGAGTTTGCAGTGAGCTGTGATTGTGCCACTACACTCCAGCCTGGATGACAGAGCCAGACCCTGTCTCAAAAAAAAATTTTAATGGCTTCATTTATTATTTCACATGATTATGTGAGTTGACAAGGGAATTCTTACACATCACACCATGTCAGCTGGGACAGCTGAGACGTCCACATGGCTGGCAGTTGCTACTATCTGCTGGCTGGCAGTTGAGCTCAAGTAGTCAGCCAGGGGTCTCAGTTGTTTCCCGTGAGTTTCTCTCTATGATGCCAGCTGGAATCTGGGACTAAGAAGGGGTGTTCCAGAAGAAGGGCTTGTCTTCTTGAGCCAGTGCTTATCAGGCCTCTGTGTATCATGAATGCTAATGTTCTGGCAAAGCTAGTCACATGGCCAAGCCAACTCTGTACAGTGCAGGGCCTGGGTACAGGAGGGCATGAATTACCAAGAGGTGTGGTTCTCTAGTTCGCAGGAGGGCCACCAAGATAGTAGTCTACTATACTTGTATAAAAGAAGGCATTAATTAACTAATTTATTATTATCATTATTTTAGAGACCGGGTCTTGCTCTGTTGCCCAGACTGGAGCAATAGAGTGGGGCAATCATAGCTCATGGCAGCCTCAAACTCCTGGGCTTAAGCAATCCTCCCACCTCAGCCTCCCAAGTAGCAGGAATACAGGAGTGTACTGTATTCATGCCCACCTGAAAAAGAAGGGAGGTTTTAAAAGCAAACCTTTAGTGTAGAGGTTTCTTGAATTTGTTATTTAAAACATTCTGGTAGTTTTTAAACTTAGGAAAGATCCAGTGATTCTTTTAGTGATTTGTTTGCATTGTTGTTATTTGGCTGAAATTGTGTTAATGCACAGTAAGATTTGATGAAGTCATTAAAATTCAGCCAGTTGGACTTGAAACCCGATAAGGATTTAACACAGCAGTGCTCTGAGATGCATTTCAGTTCCAAATATAGGAAACCTAGAAATTGCTCCATGTATTTTTAATTTGAAAATACTTTGAAAATGTGTCGTGCTTATGTAGTGTTTGTCCAAGAGAGTAACATTCATTATAGTGTGTTTCTTTACATTGTTGAACATTTTAAATTCACTTAGCATTAGACTTTTATTAAAGCAAAAATATGTTTTCCTTATTAGCTTACCCTTGTGTAACTCAGATTAAACCCTTGATTGTTCAGATTAACCTGAAAAAATGATTCTTTTGGAGACTACATTTTTGGTTAAGTAGTTGTCTCTAATTTTTTCAAATTTATGTGTATAAATATAACCTCTCTTGAAATTAATGCTAAAATTCCATACATATTTTTTATGATATGAAAATTATAATACATGAAGTTACTTGAATTTCTGTGGTTTTTACGATTTTATTTTTACTTTCCAGTGCATTTATCCTTTGGGCTTTAAATCACTTAATAACCTAATTTCTCCTGATTCGGAAGAATGTCACACTCCACATAAGCCTCAAAAAAGGAGGAACTTGGAAAGCGGTTATAAAGATTCACTTCTTTTAGCAAATTCTAAAAAGACTAGAAATTATATTGTTACTGATACTGAACAAATTTTGAACAGCAAATGTAATGGAGAAGTATATGATGAAACCTCATCAAACTTACCTGATAGTAGTGGTCAACAGAGTCCAATTAGGACAACTGATTCCTTGGAGCCGAATGAGATTTTGGAAGCTGATTCTGTTGACGTGGCTACTACAAAAGATCCTGCTACAGGGGATGTCTCTGGAACTGGCGGGCCTTCCCTTCAAAGCGAAGGATGTACATCTAAACTGGAAATGCCACTGGAGAGGAAATGTACATCATTTCCCCAGACTTTATGTGTCCAGTGGAAAAATGCTTATGCTCTCTGTTGGTTAGACTGTATCCTGTCAGCTTTGGTGCACTTGGAAGAGTTAAAGAGCACCGTGACTGGACTGTGTTCGAAGGAGGAATCTGTGTTCTGGCGGTTGTTTACAAAATATAATCAAGCAAATAGACTTCTGTATACCAGTCAATTGAGTGGCATTAAAGGTTGGTAGTAAAATTTTATTTTTATTTACTTATTTATTTAGAGACAGAGTCTCACTCTGTCACCCAGGCTGGAGTGCAGTGGCGTAATCACATCTCCTTGCAGCCTTGACTTTCGCAGGTCAAGTGAGCCTCCCACCTCAGTCTCCCAGGTAGTTGGAACTCCAGGCACACACCACCGTACCCAGCTAAGATAGTAAGATGGGGCCTCACTATCTTGCCCAGGCTGGACTCAATTTCCTGGGCTCAAGCCTGCTTCCTACCTCAGCCTCCCAAAGTGCTGGAATTACAGGCATAAGCCACCATTGCAGCCTATTTGTCTTTAATGTTTTTTTTTTTTTTTTTTTTTGAAAGAGAAAGAGAAAGGGGGAGAGAGAACAAGGAGTCTTGCTCTATTGCCCAGGCTGGAATGCAATCTAAAAATAGGTATTAAAAACCTCTTTTATGCTGATAATTGTGCTTAACAGCGGAGACAGGAAGGAATAAGGGAAGAAAATAACAACCAGATAGCCAACCAATATTTCATTTAGGTCTGTGAAATGCTATGCAAATGCTGAAGAGTGATTTACTTCCAATTATGTGGTCACTTTCAAAATAGGTGTAATGTGATACTGAGAAAAATGTATGTTCTGTGGACCTGGGGTGAAGACTTCTGTAAGTATTCACTGAGTTTACTTGTTCCAGGTCTGAGTTCAAATTATAGATGTCCCTGTTAATTTTCTATCTTGTTGATCCATCGAGTATTAACAATGTGGTGTCAAAGTCTCCCACTATTAACGTGTGGGAGTCCAAGTCTCTTTATAAGTCATTAAGAACTTGTCTTATGTATCTGGGTGTTCCTATATTGGGTGCATATATATTTATGATCATTGACTCCTGTTGTTGCATTGATCCTTTTACCATTATGTAATGTCCTTCTTTGTTTCTTTTAGTCTTTGTTACTATTAAAGTCTATTTTGTCAGAGACGAAATTTACAACTCCTGTATTTTTTTGCTCTCATTTGATTGGTAAGTCTTCCACCAACCCTTTGTTTTGAGTCTTTGTGTGTCCTTACTTATGAGATGGATCTGGATACAGTGTACCGATGGGTTTTGACTTTTTATTCAATTTGCCTGTCTGTGTCTTTGATTGGGACATTTAATCCATTTAAATTTAGGATTAATATTGATATTTGTGAGTTTAATATTGTCGTTTAATGCTAACTGGCTATTTTGCCCATTAGTTGATATAGATTCTTCATTATGGAGATACTCTTTACCTTTTGGTAAGTTTTTGGGATGACTGATACTGGTTGTTCTGTTCTATGTATAGTGTTGCTTTCAGAAGCTCTTGTAAAGCAGGCCTGGTGGTGATACAATCTCTGAGTGCTTGCTTGTTTGCAAAAAAATTTATTTTTCTTCATTTATTTTTTTATTTTTATTTTTGGACTTTTCCTGCATATGTTGGTCATTAAAACCTCCTGGGATCAATGTTGACTTTGCTAAACTTTGACTTTTTCTCATTATCTCAAGAAAACATTGCTTGGTGTCACCTATAATATTTGTAACATCACATCACTGCAGACTTCATGCCAGTATTCTTTCTCAGAGGCTTAGGACTTATATCCTATATGATCATCTTAGCTTCATTAAAAGTATTTTCTTGAATCACATGTTTACAGTTTAATAGAAATGTCTTTTTTTTTTGAGAGAAGGAAAGAAAAGAAAAGGAAAGGAGAGGAAGAAAGGAAGAAAAAGAGGGAGAGAGAACAGAAATATTGCTTTATTCTAAAAAATGGGTATTAATAATGGCCAATCAATATTTCATTTAAACCTATGAGTAGGTGTGATGTGGTATTGACAAGAATATATATTTTGTGTATTTAAAGTGGAGAGCTCTATAAATATTTGTTAAGTTTACTTGTTCCGGATCTGAGTTCGAGTCCTGGATATCCTTATTAATTTTCTGTCTCATGGAGTCTAAGTCTCTATGTATCTGGGTGTTAGGATCGTTAGCTCTTGTTGTTGCATTGATCCTTTTACCACTGTATCTTTGTTGCTTTAAAATCTATTTTATCAGATGCAAGAATTGCAACTCCTGCTTTTTTATTTATTTATTTATTTTTGCTCTCCATTTGGTTGGTAAATCTTTCTCCATTCCTTTGTTTTGAGTCTTTGTGTATCCTTGCATGTGAAATGGGTCTGGATATAGCATACAGTTGGGTTTTGGCTGTATCTTTTGATTGGCAGATTTCGTAGATTTAAATTTAGGATTACTGCCATTTGATGTTAACTGGCTGTTTTATCCATTCATTGGTGTAAATTCTTCTTTATGTTGATGCTCTTTACTTTTTGGTATATTTTTAGAAAGGCTAATACTGGTTGTTTCTTTCTATGTATAATGCTTCTTTCAGAAGCTCTTTGTAAAGCCAGCCTGGTGGTAATAAAATCTCTGAGTACTTGCTTGTTCATAAAAGATTTTATTTTTCCTTCAGTTGTGAAGCTTAGTTTGGCTGGATATGAAATTCTGGGCTGAAGGTTCTGTTCTTTGAGGATGTTGAATATTGGCCCCCACTCTCTTCTGGCTTGTAGAGTTTCTGCTGAGAGATCTGCTGTAAGTCTGATAAGCTTGCCTTTGTGGGTAACCTGACCTTTTCTCTCTGGCTGCCCTTAGTATTTTCTCCTTTTTTCAACCCTGGTGAATCTAACGATTATGTGCCTTGGGGTTGCTCTTCTTGAGGAATATCTTTGTGGTGTTCTCTGTATTACCTGGGGTTGAATATTGTCCTGCTTTGCTAGGTTAGGAAAATTTTCCTGAATAAAATCCTGAAGAATATTTTCCAGCTTGGATTCATTTTCTCCATCACATTCAGGTGTACCTATCAAACGTAAAATTGGTCTTTTCACATAGTCCCACATTCCTTTTTATCCTTTTTTCTCTAATCTTGTCTTCTCGTTTTATTTCATTAAGTTGGACTTTGACCTCTGATATCCTTTCTTCTGCTTGAACAATTCGAGTGTTTAAACCTGTGCATACTTCTCCGAGTTCCCATATTGTATTCTTTAGTTCCATTAATTCACTTATATTCCTCTCTAAATTGTCTATTCTCATTAGGATTTCGTCAAACCTTTTTTTCAAGTTCTTAGTTTCTTTACATTGGGCTACAACATGTTCTTTTAACTCACAGAAGTTTCTTATTATCTTCTGAAGCCTGATTCTGTTAATAGGATGCACTCGTTCTCCATCAAGCCTTGTTCCCTTGTTGATGAGGAACTGTGATCCTCTTTAGAGGGAGAGGCATTCTGATTTTGAGTATTCTCAGCCTTTTTATGGTGGTTTCTTCCCATCATTGTAAATTTATCCACCTATCATCTTTCTAATTACCAACTTTCAAATTAGGTCTCTGAGTGGACGTCCAAGTTGTTAATTCCCAGGGCTAAAACATGAGCAACCCACTGCGCCGGCCAAAACAGCGGCATTAAGACTGATGGTGCTTTTCTGCCCAGGAATCTCCAGTCTGCCTTCCTTCTTGAGTTCGTAATAGGTGACTCTGCCTTCCTGGAGCTCCAGACATCAGCCAGAAGGGGAACCAGTCCCGTTAACTCTGCACCAAGAGCTGCTGTGCCGAGGTGCCGGCAAAACCGCTGCGCCGGCCACAAGAGTTGCGCTGGTGACCCATGGGGCTCCTCCACTGGGAATCTTCTGCTCTGTGAGCGACAAAACTTTGAAAGTGTGGCATCCTCTTGTTCTCTGCGCTTTCACTGAGAACTGCAATCCCAAGATGTTAGTGATCAGCCATCTTGGATCGATCGGCGCCTCATCCGCTGAACATCCCTGCCTGGCAGCCTAGAGTGTCCCTCAGCTTCTGGGCTGAGTCCCACTTAGGGCCATTCAAACGCGGCTGCGCGCGTGACCCGCCGGGATAGCTTTTCTTTATTTATGAAGCTTAGTTTGGCTGGATATGAGACTCTGGGTTGAAAATTCTTTTCTTTGAGGATATTGAATATTGACCCCCACTCTCTTCTAGTTTGTAGGGTTTCTGCTGAGACATATGCTGTGAGTCTGATAGGCTTCCCTTTATGGGTAACCTGACCTTTCTCTCTCGCTGCCCTTAGAATTTTCTTCTTTATTTCAACCTTGGTGAATGTAATGATGATGTGTCTTGGGGTTGCTTTACTTGAGGAATATCTTTGTGGTGGTCTCCGTATTACCTGGAGTTGAGTATTGTCCTGCCTTACTAGGTTAGGAAAGTTTTCCTGAATAATATCCTGAAGAATATTTTCCAACTTGGATTCATTCTCTTCATGACATTCAGGTACACCTGTCAAACGTAGATTAGGTCTCTTCACATAGTCCCATATTTCTTGGAGACTTTGCTCATTCCTTTTTTACTCTTTCTTCTCTAATCTTGTCTACTCGTTTCATTTCATTAAGTTGGATATCGACCTCTGATATCCTTTCTTCTGCTTGATCAATTTGAGTGTTAAAACCTGTGCATACTTCACGGAGTTCTCGTATTCTTCAGTTCCATTAATTCACTTATATTCTTCTCTAAATTGTCTATTCTCATTAGGATTTCATCAAACCTTTTTTCAAAGTTCTTAGTTTCTTTACATTGGGCTACAACATGTTCTTTTAACTCACAGAAGTTTCTTATCCACCTTCTGAAGCCTAAATCTGTTAATGGAACATACTTGTTCTCCATCAGGCCTTGTTCCCTTGTTGATGAGGATCTGTGATCCCCTGTAGAGGGAGAGGCATTCTGATTTTGGGTATTCTCAGCCTTTTTACACTGGTTTCTTCCCGTTGTCGTTGTAAATTTATCCACCTGTCGTCTTTGTAATTACCAACTTTCAAATTAGGTCTCTGAGTGGACGTCCAACTTGTTGATTGCCAGCACCAGAATCTGAGCAACCCGCTGCGCCAGCTAAAACAGCAGCATTAAGATTTATGGTGCTTTTCTGCCCGGGAGTCTCCGGTCTGGCTTCCTTCTTGAGTCCCTTTTTCAATCAGCTGAATAGGT